ACTATTGTGAATCGTATAATTACAGTTCAGTGGCAATTCCTGCCATGTGTGCTGGTAAGTATCTTGTTTAGCATTTCTATTTATTCTGTTTGTTTTTAAACACACACACCTAAATGCAAGTGGTGTTTTAACAGGAGCTGGAGGGTTGAATCCTGCTATTGTGGCAGGAGCCATTCTTCGAGGGATCAAGTCTTCTACATCATCAATGAACAGCCTCACCAACATCCGCCTCGTCCTGATTAAGATTGATGTCTTCTCGGCTTTCAAAAAGGAAGCGATGCAGATGTATTCCCCAGCTGTCATCAACAGAGGTGACAGAAATATTCACAAACTGCCATCTTGTGTGGTTATTTAGTGTATTGACTTTTAAAATAAAATGGGATTAAATTATTATTTTACTGAAAATACTTGCTTATTTGTTTCATCCACCTTTCAGTGTTATTTCAAGAACAACAACAGCAACAACAGCCTCCTCCTTCTGTGAGTGCATGCCTCAGCAGACTCCGAATCAGGTCTACAAGTCAGCAGTCTATCTTGGGTCTTTCCAAAAAACATGTTGACTCTGCCATGGAAAAGCTGAAGCATCAATATCAGACGCAGTACTCCAAGGAGCAACTGGAACTCCTCAGCCAGGATGACATGATGGAGCTTAAGGAACTGGTGGAGGCCGAGGGTTTATTCATGCAAACTGATCAATCTGGCACCCTAACAGTGAGTGGGCTAATAGATCGGGTCACCCGAGTGATGCAGAAAATGAATCATTTTCAGTTCATGGCCCTTGCTAGAGAGGTGAGAGTCAGGAAGGAGGAGGATTTGTACCTCCGAGTGGTTTGGTGCATCCTGGCACATAACGGTAACTGGGAACGCCTTCCCAGAACAGCCAATCACCAACTGGAAAACAACAAATTAACAGAAGGAATAAAAGACGCACAGGGACTCATATGGGAGATTAATCTACAGACAATGATGGCCACACAACAACTGAGCAGACAGACGACAAATCTGAAACGACTTGAGAATCTCTCAGGTGAGAAGATCTCAGTGATGTTACAAAATGAGCCTGACTGATATTGGTGTTTGATGCTTGAGAGTAATACAAAACCAAAAGAAACAAATATTAAGGTGTACAAGATGTAATGAAAGAACAGAGTACAAATAGAAATGCAAAATGTATCGCAACCTGCCGCACCTGTAAGAAAAACAATCATACAACACCTGGAACACAAAACTTCAAAGTGTACAGACGACCCCGCTAGAGCCTGGCTTCCCTGGTTCAAGCCATAGATCAGGGTCCTGGGCATCCAGCCATCCAAAAATCACCCAGTACCTGGCAAAGAGAGGTGATACAAAAAATGTGACCCGTGTGCACCTAGTAGGGTGTGTGAAACAGGGTGCAGAAAGATGGCTCCACCCACTGTGACATATGCAAGCCACAACCCTCCATTAAGACCCTACGTGTATGAATGATGTATGAGGGAGTGGGTGAGAGGGAGGGCAGGGTAAGTAAGAATGGGAGGTAGAGTAAATGTTAAGAAATGTTAAGGTTTTTAAAGAAATAATTACACAAAAAATTAGAATCAGAATACTTTAATTAATCCCTAAGGAAATTATGTTACTATTAAACTAATTGCAGTAAAGAAGGCTGCAAAAGTAAATATGAAAGTAACCATAATCAGTTCATTTTTAATCAAGAAATATAAAAATCCCACATCAGCAATAAGGGAGGAACACGTTGTCCGTCTATTTCATGTCTAATTTAGAAGGAGTGTTATATTGACATGTATTGTCAGAATTACACGTTTTGGTTTATTCACAGTTTATTCCCAGTTATATGCAGTGTTGGTCAAGTTACTTGAAAAAAGTAATCAGTAACTAATTACTGATTACTTCCCCAAAAAAGTAATCCTGTTACTTTACTGATTACTTATTTTCAAAAGTAATTAATTACTTAGTTAGTTACTTTTTAAAAACACGATTTACAACCTGAAGAGGTAATAAAGCGATAGAGCTTTCAGCCCAATTCTACTTTTTCTACATAATCCATCATATAAAATGTAATCAAATGGAAAAGTCTCTTTTTAAAACTTGTTTTATTAGTTTTAATCTTTTAACTTTATGCATCAAGCAAAAATTTAATTATATGCAACATTCTCTGACTTGCATAAATTAGTTTAACATTTAAACCTATTTTCTACACATTCCAGCACATAAAATAAAATATTTTTTGTGTTTACACTCACTCTTTCAAATAGATGCAAGTAAAACACAGCAGAAAATAAATAAAGTCAAAGACTCAGCGGTCCTGTTGCTCTATTTTCACCTGTAAAGCAGGACTGCAGTAGGCGGAGGTTTACCCTGGTGCAGCTGTGCCGCGGTCAGTTGAAGAATCCGCGAGTTTCTCTGTGAATTTCCCATTACGTCGTTGCGCACTCGGTGCTTGCTTGGAAGTTTAGGGGGTTTTTTCCACTGTAAAAAGAAGTTTTCTTCCCACGCACGATGGACACTAATGTTTTTGTCACTTTTTATGGAATCAAACTCAAAGTAAGGTCAGTACTTCCACGCTTTAAACGCTGCACGCTCATACTCTCTCCCACAATCGATATGTGATCCATTGTTGATCTGCAGACAGCTGTTGTCACTAACGACGCACTCGCTTACGTCACTGTCATGAGATATTCTCGCAAAAAAATCACGGTTTTAGTAACGCAGTAACGCAGCGTTCCTACGGGAAAGTAACGGTAATCTAATTACCGTTTTTGCAATAGTAATCCCTTACTTTACTCGTTACTTGAAAAAAGTAATCAGATTACAGTAACGCGTTACTGCCCATCTCTGGTTATATGTATATCTATATATACACACATACACATACACATATATACACACATACACACACATATATACACACATACACACACATATATACACACACACACACACACACATATATACACACACACACACACACACATATATATACACACACACACACACATATATACACACACACACACACACACATATATATGTGTATATGTGTGTATGTATATGTATATATATATATGTATATGTATGTATATATATGTATATATATATATATGTATGTATATATATGTTTGTATGTATATATGTATGTATGTATGTATATATATATATATACACATATATATACATATATATATATATATATATATATATACATATATATATATATATACACATATATATATATATGTATGTATATATATATATATATATATATACATACATATATATATATATATATATATATATGTATGTATATATATATACATATATATATATATATATATATATATGTATATATGTGTATATATATATATATATATGAGATTTGTTGATTGCCACTTACTACAAAATTTGTAGTAAATAGCAAAAAATAAATCGCAGCATAGGCTCTTTCTGTGTCTTCTCGTGTGTATGCTATATATGTTTGTCTCTTTTAGACTTTACTTTCCCTCTGTACTGGGACAGCATGGCTGCCAGTGAAAATATGACGGTCATTCCCCTGGAGTCTTCTTCTGCAGAGTACCGAACAGTGATGGAGGCCTTCAAACGAACCGTCACCAAAACTGTGATGAAGGTGGGTGGCTCTCCCTGCATAAAGGAACATTTCAGTTTCTACTTTTTATTACCTGTCTTATTATATGCATGCTTGCTTCATCACTACTTTATTCTTCCAAAAAATTACAACCAATGGTATTAAATGTTATTCATGAAATATTATGCTACTGTAAAGTGGAACAAATAGATATTTCTTATTTACTTTGATTTAATATATGTGTATATTATATACAGTAAATCCCCATTATTTATTTATTATTGCTTCCGGATTATAATATCCTACCATTTTGTTTTGTAACCCCAGCAACATGCCCAGAGATGTCCATATAGATATACATATACACACATACTGATACAAATATACACACAGTGTGTGAGATTGACCGGTCAGAGCAATGTACTTTGCGAAAACTTTATCTTTGCATAGGTCATTATTTCAGTTCCTTAGTTTGCGCAAGTGTTTCACTTCCATATACATGGATACAAATGGTAAATGGCCTGTATTTGTATAGCGCTTTACTAGACCCTAAGGACCCCAAAGCGATTTACACATTCAGTCATCCACACATTCACACACAGGTGATGGCAAGTTACATTGTAGCCACAGCCACCTGGGGCGCACTGACAGAGGCGAGGCTGCCGGACACTGGCGCCACTGGGCCCTCTGACCACCACCAGTAGGCAGCGGGTGAAGTGTGTTGCCCAAGGACACAACGACCAAGACTGTCGGAGCCGGGGCTCGAACCGGCAACCTTCCGATTACAAGACGAACTGCCAACTCTTGAGCCACGATCGCCCCGTCGCTCAAACAAGTTACAAGAAATCACATAATGTCACATTTTATTAAAAAAACTAATTTCCCCATTCAAAAGATATAATTTATTTATTTAAATTGTATTAATTAATTAATTAATTAATGTATTTGGGATTGTAGGAGGATTTTAGTTTCAGTCCACTATATCTCTGTAGTCCAATATATTGATGATCTTCATAATTTTCTCAGAAACAATACAAAGAAAGATATTACAATACAGTTGTAAAACCTGCCTGCAAGTCATTGTGTTTTCAGTTTCTCAGATTTGCAGTATTAAAGTAATTAATTGATCGCTGATGACAACACAAAATCTTCTCATACCTGGGATGCACGCCTCGATTTAAGGCCCACATAATATAAGTATAAAACTACCCCTCAGATGTAATTAATATCCTTGATTACCTTGTTTGGCAGCTTGTTGATCCTTTGGCCTTGTTCTTTCTGCCAGATTGAGCGTTTGCAGAACGTTCACCTGTGTCGTGCCTATGAAGCACAGAAGAAGCACATTTCTGATAAGAATGCACACGAGGGAGGAGCAGGGGAGAAACTTCTGTACCACGGGACGACCCAGGACAATTGTTACTCCATAATGAAAACTGGATTCAACAGGCGCTTTGCTGGGCAAAATGGTGAGTGTTTTTATAGTCTACAATTACAGAACATATTAGCATTTATCTCCTAAGGTTTTGAAAAGTACCAAATGCAAACTGTCAGTGCCAACAACTTGCATAACATGTTTTAACCAAAGTCAACACCGGAGTCTTCTTACATTTGCACAAATATTTTCAAAGCACTGAACAAGTAGAACAAGGAGAGTAGAGCTACAATTAAATGTGGAAAGAAAAAAAAACATTGTCTTTACACTAACAGGTTTTCTGTTTCAGGGCATAATAAAAGTAACCTGGTCCTTAGCAGTCTAGTCTTAAAATTAAGTAAATAAAACCCCGATTGATAGGGAAACATGATATATTAAGTTTCATTATTCTTTTAATAAAAATTAAGCAAAAGGGGGAACCAGTGTATGAAAACTAAAGTGTCCCCTTAAGAAAACATCTTTATAAAAGCAGGAGTTTTGGCATTCTACTGATCTAGAGCATTCAGGTGTGTGTCAACATAATACCACAATTTTCCTAGGAGTGGACATCCAAGCAAAGTTGCCCCAAGGTCAGGACCTTGCAATGCTCAAAGAAATTGTGAAACACCCGAGAGCTACATCTCAGACTCTACAGGCATCAGTTAGCATGTTAAAATAAAGTTCATCTCTATGCTATGAGATTAGAGACAATCTTGCCTAAAATGATTCATTCAGACCAGAATGGCTTTATCCAAGGGAGGCAGGGGTTTCACAATATACGGAGGGTCATGAATATCATTTATGAGAAAAAAGAGACCAGAGACAATGCGTTAATCTCAATGGATGCGGAAAAAGCCTTTGACAGGATCGGATGGCCATTCTTATTTGAAGTTTTGAAAAAGTTTGGTATTGGAAATATATTTTTTAAATGGATTCAGTTGATATACTCCAACCCTCAAGCAGAGATTTTAACTAATGGTCTTTTTTCCGCACCATTCAGGTTATATCGTGGAACTAGACAAGGGTGCCCCTTGTCACCTCTCTTGTTCACCTTGGCAATTGAGCCTCTTGCAATGGCAATTCGGAATCATAAAAACATATCAGGAATTAAAGTAGGCAATGCTGACCACCGTATTGCCCTATATGCAGATGATGTGATCCTGTTCTGCACTAATTTAAACAAATCAATACCATCCATATTAAGTCTCATTAATACATTTAGTACATTTCCAGGTTATAAAATAAATTTTGATAAATCCGAAATATTATTTTTGAATAAAAATGAACGACAATATCCTCCAATCAATACTCCCTTTCTGCTATCTAAACATGGGTTTACTTATCTGGGTGTGAAATTAACTCACACAATTGAAAATATTCTGGCATCCAATTATAATTCCTTAACGACGTCAGTTACTACACTTCTAAACAGATGGATGAAACTACCTATATCTTTAATTGGCTGTATTAATATACTAAAAATGTCAATTTTGCCAAAATATCTTTACCTTTTTCAATCAATACCTCTCTCTCCACCAAACTCTTTCTTCTTAGATTTGCAAAAACTATTCCGAAACTTTATTTGGAATAACAGAAGACCAAGACTCAGAATCTCATTATTATACCTCCCTTATGAAAGAGGAGGTTTACAACTTCCAAATTTAAAGTGGTACTTCTGGGCTGCTCAAATCAGAGCGGCAATGTTTTATTTTGTTAATGAGTTAATTCCAGTGTGGGTTTCTATGGAGTCTACAGAAATCAAAATTCCCCCTAACTTATATCTTTACTCAGCCGACAGGAAGACACTAAATAAGCAAACTAAGAACTCCTTTCTAAAAACACTATAATGATCTGGTTTGAAATACATAACTACTTGGGAGAAATGATACAACTGTCTAGGTTTACTCCGATATTTGGAAATAACAACTTTCTTCCTGGTAGGGCGGATGCAGGTTTTAAATTTTGGTTTGATCAAGGTATAAGAAAAGTGTCTGATATATTTAGGAATAATACTCTTATGTCTTTTGAACAACTCAGAAGTACTTTTTCTATTCCTGCCAAACATTTTTTTAAATTTCTTCAATTAAGAAATTTTGTCTTAACCACACAAGGTAACAGCTTAAAAATCCCCACCTACTCCTCTCTAGAGAACACAGTTATAAAGGATCTAAATGGGAGAGGCCAAGTTTCTGCATTGTACAAATTATTTATGGGCAATTCCAAAGAATCAACACAGTCTATTTTAGAGGCTTGGAGGAATGATTTGCAAATGAACATATCTGATGATGAGTGGTATAAATCATGCTCCTTGGCCCAGAGTCAGACAATTAATGTGCAATCTCGGCTACTTCAATATAAATGGTTAACAAGACAATATATTACTCTGTCAAAAATGCATCATTTTAACTCAAACATCCCAGACACCTGTATTAAGTGTGGAGTGGACAGGGGCACTTTATTTCACTGTATATGGGAGTGTCCACATGTGAAAAATGTTTGGGAAAAGGTAATAAATCTGTTGAGTCAAATTATTGGTGATGTGATTCCACTTCATCCTAAAATATATATTTTAAATATATACCCAAATAATTTTGTACCTGCTGCAAACAATAGAGCTCTGTTAATGATTGGACTTTTGGAAGCCAAGCGCTGTATTGCTATGTGTTGGAAAAATCAAAAAATATGTGGACTATCTCAATGGCTTAATGGACTGACATCTATACTATCTATGGAGAAAATAACTTATACATTAAGGAATAAACTGGACAAGTTTTGGGCGATATGGTCTAAATTCTACGACTTTCTGGAGAGCTGCAAAGTATACACTGTGGACTTAACAGCCTGAAACTCTAACTTGATTTGTATATCTGTCCTTCCCTTTTGTTATGGTTTTCTTTGTTTTTGTTTCTATTATTATGTTGTTTCTGTTTCTGTTGTTGTTGTGGTTTTGTTTTTATTTATTTATTTTATTTTATTTTTACTTTATTATTTTTTTATTTAATTTTATTATTATTTTTTTGCTCACGGTGCATCATGTAAAACCGGTTAAAACCAATAAATAAATGTTTAAAAAAAAAAGTTCATCTCTGTACAGCTAGAAAACAACTGAAAGAGTATGGCTTGTTTGGAAGGGTTGTATTTTTTAGTGCAGATACAAGACTAGTGCACCTTACAGTCATTCAGTTGACCATGAACGCCTCTGTTCTAGAGAGTCTAATGGGAGGCTATCTGTCTGACAGCTAAAGCATATCCAAACTGGATCATGCAGCAGGATAATGATCCCAAGCACAGCAAATCTACAACAGAATGGCTGAAGAAAAAGTGCTGCAATGGCCCAGTGTCCTTACTCAAATGCTGTGGTGGGACCTTGGGAGAGCTGTTCATAAATAAATTCCTGCAAACCTCAATGACCTGAAACAACGCAGTAAAGAAGAAGGGGGCTGAAATTTCTCCATAACAATGTGCAAGACTGATAAAATCACACAAGAAATGATTACTTGAAACTATTACTACTTAAGATGGTTTAATTATTAAGGTATTGAGTCGTAGGGTCTTAGTTTTTCATACACTGCTTCTGCATTTTGGTTTAGTTTATTTTAAACAAAATTTACTATCCTGTATGAGACTTAACAGATTTTTTACCTTATGAAGTGGTACGTGAGAAAAAACACTTTGTATTAATAGTTTTTTTACTCCATCAGTCCATCGATGCGTTATCCAAAGCGTTGGTTGGCATGAGCAACCAACTTTGTGAACACCATAACACAAAAATGAGGCGACATAAGATTTTCAAATCGATATCATAGGTGTCTCTATTAAAAATCTTGTATGAGTTCAAATCTCAGTGGCCTTGAAGTCAGCACCCCTGTTTCAGTCTTTTTAAAGATGACATTCAGAGTTTTTTCCCAATTTGCATTCAGTGAATTTTCATAATAGTAGTAAGCCTTTCACTGGTTCTGACTACCAGGAAAGAAAATGTTGTCCAACCAAATTGTTTTTAATCCCCCAATGTTTGTAAGGTAATCAGAAGACTGAAATAATGTTTTGGGGAAAAAAAGTTTTTATTTTTAAGATATCACATGCCCATTGTAGAGGACATTGGAAGGCCAAACAGGTAAAACTGAACTTTGATGGCAAACAGTTGCTCCCCCCGACCCAAAAAAAGGGGTAAACCTAAGAACAAGTTTAACATCCACAGACCAGCATCACTTTTGATTAGTTCTGTTGTGCTTATTTGGAATGATGCTTTAAAAAGCAATTCCCCTTATTGGAATCACAGAGAAATACCTTGCACTTTGTGCACATCACTTATGTTTTGCTCTTGCAGTTGGATCTGCGACATCTTGATGCATCTGTTTCATGTCCACCATCTCTGGAAGATGGATAGCAACATAGCGTCTCAGAGCTTCATTTGGCTGTGGTTTCCACTTTTGTTTTGGGGGAGTAGAGTCATCTTCACTGTCACTTGCGCTTCCTGCTTGAGCCCAAGTAATCAACTCTTCACCAAGGAGCAGCTTGAAGTCGAGGAACTTCAGTGGTTTCTTCCTCCGCAACTGCAAGTCACTTCTATACTGAAGCCACGAGTTGTTTATTTCCAGATTAAAAAAGTGTAGAACTGCACATACTGTCCGAGTGCAAGAGGCCATCCTGTAGAAACTCAACATTCGGTCAACAAGGTCACACTACCCATGTTGATAGTGTACTCAGAAACTGCCAGTGGCTTTGGCACCTGGACAAACTTTTTGTCTTTCTTGGATCATCTTGTGCATGTGTCCTGAGGTTCAATACCATAGGCAGAGGATGCCTCATGAGGGTTCCAGTTCCAGCCAGCCCTTTCATCTTTAGGGTTTCAAGGACGTTAATAGTTGTAAAGAACCTGTCAAAGAACAGGTGGGCTTCTTGGGGAACAGACTGCCAAATGAAGAACAGTTTGCTCTCCAATGCCTATTCCTCCTGTATCTTCAAAGGTAGTCTTGCCTTGGTAGACCACAAACTCTAGTTGGTGCGGCTAAGACAAACACCTTCAATCCAGTTGGGCATGACTTGCCTGGTACA